GCGGTGGAGGGGCTGGGGCGGTGGTGAGCGGCACCTTCCTTGCCTTTACCGAGCGTGTGCTGCCATTGCTGCCAGGCCGAGGACAGATGGCGTGTGTTGTCTCGCCATCTGAACCCCTGAGAAGCACAGGCCATTAACCACCATGTTGCAGAAGCGGATCCTAAGGGTCTGCCTGAGGGAGCCTGGACTTGCAGCCAGGCGTGCGCGACTCCACCCGTCGGCCAGGCGCGTGTGCATTTAGTTGGGATGAGAGAGAGGAAGGAGAAAAGGGTTGCAGCCCGGACCGCTTCGCGCATCTCTCACATCCAAGCACCTGTGGACTTCCGGGCAGCCTCCCGGTGCTTCGCGTCCTCCCCAGGCAGGACAGCCCCGCTCAGTGTTTCTTACTGTTTTGTTCTCCCCGATACGTTTATTAGGGGAGTTGCACGTAGAGGAGTGGAGTGCTCCCCAGACCAGCTTCCGTTAGAGGGGTGAGTGGTCAGAAAGATGGATGGTAAAACAGGGGAAGCAATGAAGGCTGAATCTGGCCTTCTCACTGTCAGGAAATTCTGGAGTGCGAGGCTGTCCCGAGAGAAGGGCCCTCCTGTCTTGCCTTACCCCGTCTCGGAATCTGGGCTTCTCCCGACTGTTAAATGTCAGGAGTGCCCACGGGCTGGGATGCTATTGGCATATAGAGGGCAATATGCCAATGGAAGGGATGAAAGGGTGCCTTCAGGCCCTGAGTGTCTGTTTGCCAGTGCTGTGAACATGACTGAAAACCGTGCCGCGTGGAGCCATGGTAGGGCCCAAAGGTTTCTTTGGTTCTGGACTTGCCCCCTCTGTCCCCGTGGAAAGGCTCTAAGGTCCTCCAAGGGGACGTGGCCAGGCTTGTTTGGTTTCAGCTCTGCTTCTCCTTTGCCCTCTTTTCCAAAGTCGGTGGAGCTGGGATTGCATCAGAATATGCTGGCAGCCCGGAGGAAAACTTGGACTCTTCATGCCAAATTCTCTCACTGACAATAAGCTGCAAAAGCGCACTTGTTAAGTGAACCAACTCTTTTTACCATTTATTGATTTTCAGAGAGAGAGGAAGGGAGAAGAGAGAAACATCCATGTGAGAGCAGAACATCAGTCAGCTGCCTCCTTTATGGCCCCGGGGGTCAAGCCCTCAATCCCGGCAAGTGCCCTGATCGGAACCGGACCAGCAGGCCTTTGGTGCAACGCCCAACTGAGTGACCCAGGCCGCAGGTGCCATTTCATTTTTAAGTCCTGATCAACCTGTTTTCTTTTTCTCTAGTCAAAGCAGAGTGGAATCGAAAGAACTGTTTGGAGAATTCCCCCAAACTTGGTTTGTATGTAGGAAGAGCTGCATTATGCCTGTGGGGCGGAGTCAGTGTTCTCTCTCCCATAGGAAATTTGTTAGTTGTCTTTGTGGAATCAATATCTCATTTCGAAAGATTAGGAGTGAGTAACCAACTGTTTCTTCCTTAACAGGCAATGAGGAGCAGTGGTTAAAAGTATGAGCTCTGAGGCCATCCCCACTGGCTAGAATCCTAGCCCCCACTATTACCATCTGGGTGATCTTAGATAAATTACTTAATTTTTCTGGCCTTAGATCCTCCATCTGTAAAATGGGAACGAAACTAGTGCCTATCGCATGGGTTGTCCTTGAGGATTAAGTAAGTTAACATTTTAGAAGAGTGCCTGATATAGTGTCTTATCTATTTTTTTTAATTAAATCTTTATTTTTCAGATTATTACAGTTGTTCCTCTTTTTTCCCTCTACCCGGT